TTTTTAGTTTTAATACCAAAATTTCTAGAGGTATATCTTCAAACCTTCTTCACTCTACACCCCGATTTTTTCTGAGTGTCTGAATTCACAATGAGTTCTTAATTCCCGAACATATTTCGGAATAAATTGAATGTTTTAAATATGTTGTATGCATAATATAAAAGAGAGCACATAATTCTTATGGCTTTCCTTAATTTCTTCTTATCTTTTCATTTATTTCTTTCGTTTTATTAATTTTTACCTTTTTGTTGTGCCTGGCTTTTTGGGTCACACGTAAAGTGGACGAGGCATATATAAAAACCCAAAATTATGGCTGTTTGTATATATTTTCAGCATGTCGAAACGTGTGTAAAAAGCCCAATAACTATCCAAGGCCTTTTCAATATGGCCTATCCAAGCGGGGCTAATCAATTCTATTAAGCAATTAAGCACGGTTTAGCTAAGTAGAATGGATTTCTAGTGGAAGTTTTTATAGATCAAGAACATTTCAGAGATGAAGATCATTTTGTTGCTACTTTCGACATTAGCTCCCCTCAGCCTGGGTTGGTATGACTTCCATATCACATATTGTATTGTCTACATTAATGTAGATTTTGATTCTTTATAGCTCGAAATTTGTATATACCCAGCCAATGTGAGTCCACCCTGCTCCCTTTAGAAGTTTGCGCCTATGTGGGATGTTTTATAAATATTGATCAAAGGGATATCGAATTCATTAACTGTGAACGTGAACTGAGAGGAAGGCCACGTAGGTTATCAATTGAAATGACCCGATCGATTTATTTAAAGTCCATTTTCCCAACTCTATTTTAGCCCTGAACTTTTACTCGGAGGGTAAGTGCGGCCCACTGTTGGTGCCCAAATGCGAAACTTTTGATTTCTAAATAAAACGTTTGAGCTGAAATTGACTCTGAAATTTATTCAAGTTGATGAATGCTTAAATAATGAAATGACATAAAATAATATTGCTTGAAAAATGTCTTATAAAACGACTTCAGAACTTGACAATGTGTCCGGTGAAGTAAACCGCGTGCTGATCGCGTATGAGGAACACAAATGGATGATCGGCCACGAATGTCTTGGGATCCAGAGGCAGAGACATGGGCACCCCAGCAGCATCTAGATGGGAGAAAGATTGTTAAGATCAGCTTATGTGATAAAAGGGCAGTTAGGAAGGTCGCACGTACAGCTAACTCCAGCAGCCTCGCAGCCGATCTCGTTGACATCGATGAAAGTCTTGTGCTGCACCTGGGTGATGCGGGTGCCAATGGGCGACTCATCGAAGATGTTGCTAAAGTCGGCCGCATCCGAGAACATGGCTTTGATGCCCATCTAAGGACGGCATCAAATATGAATATCTGTGTACCGGGACGAGGCCCTAGTTAATAATAACAAACCTTGAACAAAGTGGGCTTCAGATCGGTGTCAAACTCAAACTTGAACTTGGGCAGATAGACAGAGACACTTTGCCATTGCCAGCGATCCTCGAGCAGCTTAAAGTCGACACCCTTCAGCTGCTGCTCCAGCTGCTGCAGACCCGTGCGCTTGTTGGGCAATATGAACCACATGGTCATATTGATGTTCTCGAAGAACAGCTCAATTGCCTTGGCGTCGAGCTCGGGATAGTCGGCATAGTAATACCAGTTGTCGGCAAACATGGTGGGCACCTGAATGGAGCGCTCCTCGCTCAGCCAGAAGGCGCGATCCTTGGTGTCCTCGTCATTGAATGGACGCGCCCAGCGTGCCTTGAAGTAAATGGCATTGATCAGTGCCACATTGGTGTCCGGCTCCAGTGCCTCCACCACATGCTCAATCTTGCCTTGAGTCTTCTCCTTGACCCAATCGTTGATGCGCTTCAGTGCCTCGTCTTCGTTGTCGAAATTGAGACCCTCAACACCAGAGTCGAAATACTTTTCGGCTACCTCACGGAAATGTGGAGTCACCTTTAGCTTCTCGCGCGTGTAGACTTTGTTGGCGATCTCCAGCACCGTCTTGGACTTGATGTACGAGTGCAGCAGACGATGGTAGCTTTCGGCGAGGCCGTCTTTGCTCTCCTTGGCGGAGACATGCAGCGTGCGCTGCAGCTCCGATGCAGTGCGGCCCTCGGCGCCGTAGTAGGCCAGGCCCAAAGCCAGCTGGACGGACACGGGCGAGATTACTACATTCTCGTCCTGGCGATCGGTGGCCAAGGTCTGGAACAGTTCGGTGGCAAACAAGTTGCGTTCTTTGATGGTATTCGCTGCAGCCAGCAGCGGCAGCAGCAGCAGCACTACTGCAAGACAACAACAAACAACAACAATTCGAATCGGTTCAGTCAATGCCCGGCCGAATGCTGGGACAACAACAACTTACAGTGGTTCATTGCGCTTGCGTGGACAACTCAAGACTAAAAGTGAAATGGCCATAGAAGCTGTCATTTATACCTGCGCCAGGAATCAGAATCACCCAGAATAAAGCAAAGCAGCGACGTTAGCAGCGCTGCTGGCTGCGACAGCGACGTATGTGCTGCGCATGCCAAGCAGCCAAAGCAAATAAAAGATAAAGCATGAGACAGCAAGAACAAAAAGAAAGGTAGGTGGCGCAGGAATGACTGCTTCTTCTGGTGGCTTCTGGACGCTCAGAAATACTGGGAACAGATCGCACGCTCTCACACACACTCTCGCACAGAGGGCTCACCCCCTCTCTCTCTCTCTTTCTCTCTGTCTAGTTGAGAGTGCGCGCCCACTTTACACTTGTTGCCCTTTTCTTTTGTTTGCTTTGGGCTATTTTTTTGTCTTTTTTGTTTTTTGCGAGCGGATAAACGCGCTTACCGCTTCAGCTCGGCTGTCAAATTAAAGCGCGCGCGTTCACAGTGCCTGCTAAAGGTGCATTAACTTGAAAATGCATGTTTTATGCGTTGCATTCAAATTGTTTATTTTCGTATTTGTTTAGATAATGCGAACATAAACAAAACGCAGCTAAACCAAACAGTGCATTGCGTAAATTGTTTATCGACTAATGTACCAACACACACTCACACTCAGACTCACACACACACATGCACATGCACATGTGACGGCATGCTTAACAGCGTTCCAATTAAACGCAACACGCACACATAAAATTTATGCGTGCAAGTGGAGAAGGCGACTGACTCGGCGCTCTTGGCCTGGCCTTATCCAATTTTTTATCATTAAAAGGGGAGCCACTGCTGCTGTTGTTCTTGCAATCCGTTCTTCTCTTTTTTCCCTTTTGGGGGCAGGTATCAAAGTACCGAAATTTGTTATTTATGCACAGTTTGTGTGAAATGCTAATAAATTTTAATGGAATTTTAAAAACATGCTTTATGGCCGGACTGAAGGAGGTGCATAAATACACATATGAAGCCAAAAAGGCGAACAATTTATGAGAGTTTAACACAAATTTAAGCAAACGGCTGTTCAGCTTTGTATTTATGATTAAGTATCGTAAAATTTGATTTCTTTTCGACTACTGTTTGCGATAGTTTATTAATTCTGGCTGAGAGTTGAAAAAACGAGATAAAACACTTTCAGCTAAAGAGTTGTTCAAGCAGCTTTTGACTTAGGCTTATATATTGGCTTATATACTGGCAACGACCGAAGCTGCCAAAGCTGCTGACCGTTCTGATTGAATGATTTCACTGATCGAGACAAACCATGTTAAAGATCGTGATGTTGTTGTTGTTGTTGTTGTTGCTGTTGGTCCAGCTAAGGAGTCTGTTGTTGTCTTTATAGATACACAGCACGGCAGCCAAGCCAGAGCTAAAAAAAAAAAAAAAAGGAATGCCGATAAAAAAGCGTCTTGGGGCTTGGACAGCAAAGTCTGATGCGCGGCAGGTCGACAGGCGACAGGCGTCAGGCAACGAACAAGAGGGCGGTGCATTGGCTGCATGCAACGGCAGCAAAATGCTGCTGATAAAAATAACTTGCCACAAACAAAAAACAAAAATGGAGAAGAAGCAGCAGCAGAAACAACGCTCTTTTGAGCCGTGCGGAAAAGCACAAGAATGATGAGCCAGCAATAACAACAACAACAACAACAACAACAACAGCAACAATAAGTAGAAGAAGAAGCAGCCGCAGCTGAAGAGCAACACGAATTATGTGATCGGTGCAGCATCTCTCTCGCTGTGTGGGTTTCGTATCTCCAGCTCTGCGTGCACGTAACCCAAAACCAGTTGATGATAGAGCAAAAAACTAAGAAGGCAACAAGCGAGAAAGGGAATGAATAAGCCAAGAGCAGCCAAAGTGAAAGAGTTGGAGACAGTGAAAGAAAAAAACAAAAAAAAAAAAAAAACAATGAGTGCTCGCAAAAAAACAAGAAGAAGAAAACCCTTTTTTGTTCTAAGCATAAACAATAAAAATGTTCACATAACTTTGTACAAAATAATTGCGATTTGCATAGCAACAAGTACAAACAGAGAGCAGCAAAGTGGTACCATGATCATCTCTTGAAGATCATCTATTGCGTGCGCACTCAATGGGAACTGCTTTCAGCGGGGTACTTAGAAAGGTGAATTGTCCTACTTAAACAGCGGGTCAGCTTTCCAGAGTACAAACTAATGCAGATCTCACAGAGATAGCCTTGAGAAAGTATGAAGAAGACCCACATTATTTTTGTGAATGTCAACTAAGAAAATTGGCATGACGCCAAAATGAACTTGATTACAAAGAGTTGACGAGCAATTATAATAGATAATTGGCTCAGGAGAAAAAGAAATGATCTACTAAGTTGCAGAGCTTCAACAGAATATATCGTTGGGTAACTGAAAATATTATTCTAGTATAGATTTTGTATTAATAAAAATTCGTGTTTTTTTTTTTTTTTTTTTGCTTTCACTTTTATCATTCACTTAAGATCCCATTATAAAAACTAACAAAATAAAAAAAAATATTTGAACTTATTTTCAAAATGAGCATGAAAATTGGACTTTTTCATCCGTCGTCTCTTTTATCTCTCACCCCATATACAGGGTGGGGCACAATTGGTGAGCGAAAATCTTATTTGAGCTATATTTTAAGCTTTCGCTAATTACAATTTTCACTGCACTCCTCACACACACACACACACACAAGAAAAATCCAAATTATATATATGGTAATGATTGTATTTTATTACACAAACTGTTCCACAAGTCTTACGGATTGCCGATAATTGGCTTGGCTGGCCTTATCATACTATTATGCCAATTAGAGACTTGACTATAGCTAAGAAATTTATATTTATATGCATATTGCTGCAATTCATTTAAAGACAACTTTCTTGGAGCTTGTTATACAAGCACTCAATAATTAGCCAATTGCCAATGGATGTGCGGCAATCTAATCGACAGTTTGGCCAGGCAGTTGGGCAGTGAAAACGAGCCGAACTTTCATTCAGTTTCAACAGCAATATTGACAGCAGCTACAACAACAACAACAACAACAACAGACTGCAGTAAATGTAGTTTATGCAAAACAAAAAAAAAAAAAAAAAAAAAAAAAAAAACTTGCCACGCTTCATGGCTGGGCGAGAAACACGAAAACCGAGACAAACACTCAGCCACTTGACCAGAGCTAGAGTGGATGCTGACAAGCGCAAACAGCCAACAACCAATAACAACAACAACAACAACAACAACTACACGACAACGCGGATGACACAAACGACACGTCAATCTAGCCGCTGCCCACATGTGGCATGCAACATTGAAACAGGATTTTCCAATTCGAGATGTTGCTGCGACAAATTAAGCTGGAAAAATGCAAGTACAACTGCAACAACAACAACAACTGCCTTGATGCGTCTCTAGAACTTGTCGCAGTTCTCATTAATTAGCACTAAAATGAGTGAGATCGAGAAACCCTTAAACAGGATCTCTTTGCTGAGCCTTTCAGTTTCTACGAAATCGCCAACATCTTCGTC